ATACAATGTATACAATATCATTGTTTCTGATCTTGGGTGCCAAGATTGGACCAACATGTTAACGCAGACATGAGAGGAAAAATATAAATATTTTGCAAAGAAACCCTCTCTATAGAAGAGTCATTCAGAAGTCCAGGGCAGAGACAGTAGGAATAAATTAAAACATACTGCAAAGAAGAAAGTCGTGAATTGCGTTGTATTAGACAGGGACCAACACTAGGTTTTGGTAACAGAGGCACTGAATTTCTGGGTTTTACGAGCAAAGATTGTCTCAGAAACTAACAACATAACATTGTTTGTTTCAGTTTACCCTGAAGCTCCACCACCCACATACTCAAACCTGGTGCTTAACAAGAAATCTTCTCTAAAAATGAACATTCACGACATCAAACACAAGGTCTTTGTGATAACTACCTGAGAAAGCAAAGTACAAACTCTGACAGAGTGAAATTTTGCAGCCATGTTCAACCAAACCAGATTTCAAACTGGGATCACATGAAGTAATGATACACTGTCACATACGTACCTGAGACAGAGGCGATCTCCCAGTGGTACCCCAGAATGGCAACAATGAAGAATATTATAACATACAGAAGCACGTTTTTTGTCATTATTAAAATGAGTTGTAGTATTTTAGTAAGGCATAAATTTTGCGACGTTAAATTGAACATTGCTGTTTTTCATACGTTTTCTAAACTTCGTGGTCGAGTGGTTAGCATTCCTGTTTCGAGAGGTTCAGGGTTCGGTTAAAGTCTCGGAGACCGGCTATCCTGACTGAATTGTCTCGTGGTTTTTGTCAGTCCCTCCAGGATAATGCCGGGATAGTACCGCTTCCTTCCACATCCTTTCCAATTCACTTCCAAACATAAGATTGTGATTTTTAACACGTGAATCGTTTAGCAGTAACTTTTGATTGATTGTAAATTAAACAGACATATTTGAACACCATCTACTTGCAAATAGGTGGAGAAATATGACAAAGTTAATAGACGAACTTAAAATATTTTAGGCGCACATAAACATCCTCCGAAACGGACCGCGTATAAAGCACATTAACATTGGGCCACCTTGGCAGCCGGCTGTTGTTATCTGCATATGGAACAAAAACAAACATGACTTGATAGGCAGAGAGTAGTAACGTCACGTGTCATCCAGTGGGTTACCCTACCATGTCGTGCGTGTGTTCGGCCACCGGCTGTCAGAGCGGTTGGTGTGTTCGGGAGGACAAGAACCCAGTGCTTCCAGTTCCAATTTGAGGGTAAGTAGCGTCAGCGGGCGAGGAGGTATTTACAGAATCGAACTGGCCCACTTGCTGTTAGCGCAACGTATCGAAACGTCGTAATTTCCTAAAGATAAAATTGTTTAGAAAGACATTTTCAGAAATTAGAGTGTTAAATGTAATCGTTAAGTAACATGTTTCTCCGCTTCTAAGACATCGGATATTCACCCAGAGCAATATTTTAACTCGTTCTGTCTGGTTACACAGGACAGGTTTTTATTATTCCACTCTCCAGATACTGCAATCGGCTGTTGAAGTTCTTCATATCTTTATCCACATTTAAATATTGTGCTAAACCTATGCATTTTGGAAAATTCAAACAGGATAAAAGCCGATTAGGGTGTGGTGTTGGGACATGCAGACAGTCGGAAAAGTAAACCTAATTTTATACGTGCATGCTCAGGAGGCATAAACTACATTTACAATGCTATAAATTAAAACTTTTAAAAGCTAATACAACCTACAATCGAGAAGAATGTCAGAAACTTCGAGGTGTATTTCTTGCAGTATTATATTCTCAGATAGACAAAATATATACTAAAATCTGTATTATAACATGTTAAAATGGGTTGAAACCAACTGCCCATAACCCCTAACTACTCAGACATAGTGGTTCACGAAGTACGTTTGCGTGAAGTCAAATTTTAGAATTCTTTTCGTCGTAACGTGTGCTTCTATTTTATCCTTCGGAAACACTGGATGTGGAGTATGCAGTTCCATTCCTCGCAACTTACGACTGAAAAAATTCCCTTCATAATTTAAACGTCAGATTGGAAATTTTTCACTTCTCATGCTGAGAGGCTGGTTCGCTGCGCCCTTCTAGACTGCAACCTGCAGTCCGTTAAATGATGTGGCCTGATCAGCGAGAGAATAAGCCACAACCACCTTTCGCTGTATAATAAGTCAGTAAACTGGCTGTACTGTAGTACATGTACAACTGATGGGAGTGGGGTGTATGGGGAATAGCTCCACGCATTCATTGGAGTGATGTGGGTGGTACGTATCTTCAGTAGGCCAGTAGTGGCAGTCTTAGACTCAGGCATAGCATGTACAGTGGCTTAAAATAGGCAACGACCGCTTCATTCCACGTAATTTTAAATTGACTAATCGTATTCACGCTTCCATTCTGCGGTTAACTGTACAGCTGAGAAATCGTTAAGTAAGCAAATCTGCGGCTGGGGAAAAAAACAGCCGCCTCTGATCGCGCCGTGACCTCTGACCGGACAGATCAGCTAGCAGTTTGAGTCACGAGTATAAATACTGTAAGATCACGGACACGCCCTCTGCACCGAGGTGTTGTTCTCCCAGATTCCAACACCACAGGCCCATGGTTCGTGTCCCCGTCTGAATATGATGGGCTTTCGTGGTTTTTCTCAGTTTGTTCAGACGAATGCTGGTACAGATCATAACATCTCCCCCAATCAATGTTGATTATACCGCTAAATAACCTCCCAATTAATGGAGCCTGCCTGCAGGTCGACTAGTTTGGTATCCCAACATTCTTACGAGGCGAGTGCCGAGGAAAACCATGAGCAGGGGTCATTGTTTTACAGCAATGTGAACCGGCATCATTATCGGAACACACTGTTCCTTAACAGAGGCCACGGAAGACATTAGCGCTTGAGAACACCAGTCCGAATTAATCTATTTTCTTGAAATTTTGCAACATTTACTGTACAGTATTTGCCATATCTCCCTCTAGTATCGATGTTAGTAAGTTAAACTGGTATTTTCCTTCTACCTCTAGGTCTTCTTATATCTCGCTTTCCTCAGGGGTTCAGCCCAGTCAAAGTGATACAACGTGACGTGAAATTGCAGGTCCAACAGCACCAACGACAGTAAAATCGGCGATGCCGGCAGAGAAAACGGTAAGCACTTGATGCTTCTTCATGTACAAGTACAAAGTCGTGGATGGAGACGTATGGTGGACGTGGAGGCATAGCGCAGCAGACAAGTCTGCTTGTGCAGTGAGTCCAACAGACTTACCCCAAAACAAGGCTCCTGTTCATCGAGAGACTGGGACTGAACTTCATTAATCAATTTCTGTTATATTTTTGCTTTATTTCTTATCCCGTGTTATTTCTCCATTACTTTACTTTCCAATCTTCTACGCCCATTGCATTTTCTCGTAGTACGCACTTTTGTCTCATCTCGTTCCGTTTTTCTTCTTTTCATGCTAGGCGCAATGGTTTGTATTCAGGAGCTACCCGGTACGAATCTCTACCTCATTACTGACTACATTGACCAGGTTTTCGTGAGTTTCATCAAATGGGCCATAACAATTCCATTGCAGTGCCTGAAAATATACCATGACGGACTCCTTCCAAATCCTTACTACTCATCATTCATTTTCAACTAACGTTATTGAAAGCTACATAAATTCTGCATTTGCATGTAGGTTAACCCCGTAATTTCCATGAATTTTCTCACATCTACTCATGTATGTCATTTTCGTATATCCTGTTGCAGAGGCTCCGGACAGCGCGCGCGATACTGGAGCAAATGGGGGAGCAAGTAGCGAGCTGCCCTCTGGGGCAAATCTTATTCCGAGGCGCCGACCGCCTCTTGTGGACGGTCGAAACATCTTTGCAGTGGTTCGTGGAATCCGAGGAACCTCACAATAATGAGTCATGTAAG